GGAGTGCATCGCGCACTGCAGTAGCAGAGCCCTCTGAGGCAGCCTGTAACAGAGCAAAGTTTTCAAAAGAGCGTTGTACACGACTGATCATGGTGTTATAGTCGTTAGTCGTAAATAGCGCGCAGCGAGTGTGTGAGAGAATGAGTTATGGGCGTTGGTCGTAGGGCGGATGAGTCGGTCAGTGGAAGAAGAGGTGATTTTGTGGAGTTCTGTTGAAGGATGATTTGAGTTTTGTATACGTACAGATAATGCTCTCAAATGGGGCACAACGAGGCAAAAAGCAGTTCTTCTCATTGATGTTCTGATGTTCATTCTTCTTGCCAGTCGTAGGCGCCTACTAGTCGAGCCGGCTGTCCGACCTGCCTCGAGGCAATCACGTAAAATAAAATAAAACATAATGGGAAAAACAAACAATGCAACTCTCGCTCTTTTCATTGTTCGCTTCCTATTGTCGGCTTCATCTAGTATATAGTAGTCTAGCTCGGGGGAGCAATTACAAGTAGTATTTAACTAGTAAAGGGTCGGTCTTTCGTTCACTCAGGGTAGTAGTCTCGACGACAAAAACTTAAAATCACCCAACCCGTCATGCAGGGCGGCGGCGAATCTGCTGGGAAATCATATAGTGGCTCTGATGGCGCGCACTGTCAAAACTATCCCGAGAAGCGACACACTTTCTCAATTCGTACGACAAACCGAAATACTTGGTGATATGATAGTAATATGATATGAAAACGTTACATTGAAACTGGTACGATGATGCATGAAGTACTTTCAGCTTGCCAAATGTATTATATAGAGTAGTCATGGGGTAGCAATGAGTCTATCCCTGACCTAAAGTCCGTGAGCGAAATCCCCGAACTCATCGTAATCGAACCTTCTAATAATAAGTGTGAACCGATTGCAAGAACGGAGTTCGCCGTATTAGATTACATGCTCCCCAAAGTTACAGAAATGCATCCCGTGACAGCGCCCCCTGGACAAACAGTAGTGAGCTAAACGTTTCACTGAAAATACTCCAAACACCCCGCTTACCTTGACTTGCTCAAAGTTTGCGATGGCACGGTCGAAAACCCACGCGTTGTTCTGTAGGCAATCCACGGCATACTTGGCATTTAGACCCGTCCGCTCGCAGATCTGCACGATGAGATTACGCTGAGTTTCAGACTAACCAAGTTGATAGTGTACGCCAGTGCGGAAATGAAGACGTAAGTGAAAGTCCATGAACAACGGGAAGCGAAAACTTACAAATGTCGATATTGTGTGTTCTAGCTGCGCCCGCGCGCTCGCGGGGATTAATGAAGATGATGGGATAGACCCTGTCGGTTGCTGAGTCGGCTGAGTCGGCATGGCATCCCCAGCTTGCACACGCATCGGTCCTGGATGCCATGCATCGTGGGTTGAGTATGCTCGTACAGACCACTGGTCTGACAGGACCATAACGTCCCAGCCATTCAATTTAGCCCTGCCAGATTGGTCATTGTGTCAATGGCAAATGCCGAACGCGTACGATGAAAAAGCGGCTTACCGAGAACCTGGTGGCGCTGGAGCTAGGATAAAGGCCCTGTCGAATGACCGAATACCCTGCGAAGGTTCTACGAGAAAGGAAAAAAATCAGATGTGAACACAACGACGTGGGATCGAGGAAGACAGAATTCGAAGACACGAAGGTTACTGCATCGCAACCAAGGCAATAGAGTACCAAACAGTATAGGGATGTCCAGGGCAGCCAAAAACTTCCGAGTAGATCGTGGGTGCTTACCTTCTATGAATTGCCCATGCAGGGAAATGAACAGTTTTAAGTTCTCGCCCTGACCCACAGGCCATGCATCGATACAGAATTTCTCTGGTGAACCAGATACGTCATGTTTCGTTTTTGGTAGTGTCGACATTGCTCGAATCGCCTCTTCGCTACCTAGGTGGAGACTGTTAACGACTTTGTCAACGCCACCTCCCATGCGATTAAGATTTCGGGAGCCGTTGTTGAGCCAGAGACCCCAATCAAGCTTGCGCTGATTTGGCATGTCTTTAGATACGTGAAGGCCCTGTATACGTGCACGAGACGGAATAGCTGTATTACATGAGAACGAGAAAGTGGCTGAAGGGTGATATGCATCGAGAAGGGCAGCTCGTTGATCATCAAATAATGGGAAGAACCTGATGATAACGTTTTATAAGCAAAATCAAGAGATGTAAGATAATATGACGCACCGAACGAGGAAATTGCTGACAACTGAGTCTTCGACACCTGTGATAAATGGTGGCCGCATTTCATATGGAAATGTGGTTGCAGTAGCTCGTCTTTCCGTTACAGGAGTAGACGAAGGCCCGGGAGCGTCGAATGCTATAGTAGCAATGGCCTCCTGATCCAGCATTATTAATGACGTGAAACGCCGTGCCATGTCACTGAATATTGTTAATTACATGACCCTGATGACCTCTTGTCAACGTACCTCTTGTACTTATCTCCCTTTCCATTCTGAATCTCCAGTTCTCTTAATGGATTCCCGAGGAGTATGAGTTCTCGCAAATGCTCGAGCTTCCCTTTCCGCCCGGAGATAAAATCGATATCTCGCCAAACTTTGAGGTTGTTATTTTGCAGTGATAGATTGGCGAGCTTGGGGAGATAGTGCGCTAGTGTTGAAAGGAGCTGACCAGAGCTGATGTTGTTATTTGCGAGAGACAGTGTTTGGACCTATAGGTCAAAGCATAAAACTCCGACAGAGTCTGGGAACAAAGTTCGACTTACAGCTGGTCTTAGGTGCGAGGCTAACTTGAACAAAACCGAGGCCTCTCTTACTGAGGATGCAGGGGCGCCTGGCGGCAACAAGTTGTGTTTCTGAATCTCTGGATCGTCCATCATCCTCTGCCCATGACATCAACCACAGATATTCGAGGGCTAAATAGGGTGTCTACTCACCTCTAGGTTCAAAAACCTCGTTTCGGGATTCCACCGTCTATTCACGAAATCTTTCCATACTTCTACTGCTTTCACTGGTACTGCGTGCGCCTTGCTAGGTGCTACACCTGCAACTGCCGCCGAAACGGCGTTCCTGCGAAGCCGCCCCACCGTCGAAGCGCCGCGGATCGTGAGAATATCTGACGCGCCGCCTGGTTGTGTCCGTGCGGCGAGCTGTCCATGTGCGAGCGGCGGTGGGTGCCAGACATTTGTAAGCGAAGGTTTTACACAAAAAGGAGACGAAGAGCGGATATAGATAGACAGTGATTGGAAAGGCAAGGGGTAATATACGACGGCGATAGATACAGCGACGTACAAAAATCCCAAGTCATGGACATAGAAAACATTCAAAGGGGGATCAACTAAGCTAAGAAATGCGAGCGGGGAAAGGTCTCATATTTACCATGCTAGCTCGATTAGGGCCGTGAGGCTCCTTGTAGGCATCAATCGGACGTGTGCGGTGTGTGCGGATCTTCGAGGCGCCCTTGCGACCACCTGGTTTGTCCGCTGTGGCGTCTCGCATGCGTGTGTCACTGTCGATGAGGCCAGCGCCCTTGAGCGTGGTGGTTGCGAGCGTACGGCTCGATGTCGGGCTTGAGAACATTATCACCTCCGTTGACAACGCAAAGAATTACTGTTTGTATAAGTTGCCTCTGCAAGTGATGGTACTGGGGATGATAGTGGTAATGGTTGTTCAAAAGCAAGAGGCGGCGGCTGAACTCTGCTGTGGCCAGTCGAATCAAAAACGGAGGTAGGTGAGCGCTTCCGACAAAGAGGCAACAAGCTGACTCAGCCACGGGGAGTGCTTTATTTAGTCGATGACTCCGCTATGTCACGATGGTCTAGCGACTCTAGCCCAGCCTACCAGCAAGCAACATGGATTTAACATGGATCGCGAAGCCCGGGCCGAAGGTTTTTAAACCTTACATGTTAAACTTTGCCTCTGATGCATCTCTATACAGTCTTTACTACAGGGACCCGGCTGATTGGTTCTTGTCACTATCATAGCACAGGATACCTTGCCAACTATCCTTTCCTGGACCAATGTGACTGCATCGTGCATGATGGGAAACAATCTATGGTGAAGGATGCCGTCAATTCTCTTGCGCGTTCTGCTCATAGTCTATCGTGCAATTCACGTTGAATGCACATATGACATCCCTGCTTATTTCAAACGGTGTCGGGCGGCCGGACTGGCTTCTGTGCGATCGATGTACACGAACAGGCTGAAGCGTGCTGGGATTTATCAATTTGATATGGAATTGAATCGCCGGAGATATTTTGACTGGCATGTTCCAACCGATTTGGCCGCAAACACCACAATGTTTGCTGTATAGGCCGGTGTCAGTGAACTTGCCACCGTCCACTTTCCCGTGGATAAAGCATCCGTTCTATCGATGCTTGCGGAACGGGGATTGTTCTACGAGGAATTCCAATACATCGATACAGGAATCCATGAAACACATCACACTTGCAACTGGCGCCATACCTCATAGCAAATTGAGATCGCCGTGTAGGTAGCGTCATCCCGCACCCTCCTGTTCAAACGCCGCTCAGGGTGCTCCAACTCAGGCCCTTCGGTGACTGCAGTATCCCAATCAGGGTGCACCGTTCCATCCGGCATCATCGAGTCCTTAAATTCGAACTGCGCGGGGACACAATCGACTAGCCATGCACGGGCCCGACGAGTCTCACTGTACTTCGCTCCTAATGCCTAATCAGTGGATGCCGGCGCTTAGTCTTGCGACATTTCTGGTGTACTTTTCCTAGTTGTTACCCGTCGTCACGAGGTCACCTGCGACACACGATGCAAGGTTAAAATCTGCAGGCGCCGTGACAGATTTCTTTATTCGCGGCTCCACAAGGCCTTTGCCTCTATCTGACTGTGGTTCTCATTGATTTCATAGTGGTTCATATCGTCTTCAAATTAATATCCGCAGGCCAACGTCAAACAGCGGAAATGACATTGTACAATACTACCGGAATTCCCTGCACAAATTCACTTTCATGTTGTGGTAAATCGACCTAATAGGCCAGGTATGTGGCGTTGCATGGCCTCGTTACCATCTGGGTTCCTGCGTCTACCAATTACGGTTCGGCCTTCTGGCACAAAGTATATAACCACAAGCTTTAATGTCCTCTCAATAATCAATTCTCTTCTCATTCAACACAATGATGGCACCGGATCATCCTCTACCAGCGCAAGGCCACATGTTTGATATTCCCATTGTCAGTCTTCTTTTCTGATCCATGCTACCTGTCGCTGATGTTGATGTCACGGTGGCGTTCCACAGGACCTTTACAATGATACTGTACACGCAAGCCCTGACCACACCTTATGTCGGTGGGACATCGGCGGGGGCATACCATGCGGCGCGTACATCAGCGTCTTGGACCTTTCAAAACACGTGCGCATGCATGGAGTGAAGGGACCTGGGGATTTGGCAATACAATGTGCGTGGGATGGCTGTACAAGACCCCCCATGAAACGGGAGAGTGTCGTTCGGCACATCGAGGAAGTGCATGTACAAGTCAAATATCCGTGCAGCCAATGTTGGGCTTCTTTCTCTCGCAAACATACGCTTAGCTCCCATGTCTTAAAGGCTCATTCGCATGCATCCTAGTACGGTTTCCTGGCCCTTTGCGCATTTAGTCCTGCGAGTATCTCCTACCCCTCAGTAACAGTTGTCGTATCACCCTCGCTCTGGATATACTGCCATTCCCGGTAATCTGTATTACATTCTCTCTGGATTCACAAGTACCGTAGAATCGTGCCCGTCCTTATTTTCATGATGTATGATATCCCCGCTAACTCGAAATGTCAATGCTATGCTCATAGTCACCGGAAGCGTAATTTCTCTCAAATATTCGTCACAAGTCCCCTGTGAGATTGAACTGGCGTTCTGGCATCCTAGTACAATATCTGAGAGGCTCTAAGCAAAATCTTTCGAATATTTCTGGAGGATCTTTAGGATCTTTGGAGGTGAGTCGTGTTCAGTATCACCAAGCCCCCGCTCAAATGAGAAGTTTAGCCAATTAAGTGGAAGTCGGATTTCTCCTTCAATCAGTGGATTGACACCGTTAAATCAAATTCGAGGGCGATGGCCTCGAACCTATCAGAATTATTCAAGGATCAAAATCAGGGGACGAACTGAAATCAAAAAGGCTCATAATAAAGCTCATGATGCAGTGATGACCGACAGATATCGGAGATACGGTATCAGTCGCTTAAGCTAGTTCCATATAATCGGATCCCGAAGCTATTAACAGTTTAGGGCAGGCCATATAACATAGAGCCTCAGGCAAGGTCCTGCCAGCGGCACCTTGCCCCTGGCCTACATACGCTTGGACTGTAACAGTCGTTGTAAGTGTTTGAGGCAAATGAAGTAGGGAGATATTGTAGCATGTTCGAGGTTTGGCATATTACTTGCAATATTATACTTGCTCGAACTATAGAACTTATTCGCAATATTAATACTATTACCAAGTCCGCGAGCCCTGCACGGTCGTAACAAGATGATTGTACAGTAATTCTGGACAGGTGAATACGGGACCTGCAAAAGCACAACACGTCGACCGACCATGTACGCGATATCTACACGAAGACTACACTGAGCTGCGTCGGTATCAAAAAGTAAGATAGCAAATTATCGAGCAAGGGACTCTCGGCTACGCGATAAAATCAGTAAAATCATGCCAATTAACCCTCTCGGCGCCCTCCGTTCGGCTGATACATGAACTGATGTGTCGATCCTGAAGAGGCAGGCTTCATCACAGGTCCCGGTCGTGTGCGATAGTAATTTCCGCTTCCCGGACGATCCATCGGGTTCGTCGAGGTAGATATAACAGGTGAGGTTGCAGCAGCAACCGTTGGCATTGGATATGGGAGAGCACGTGTTGGCGGTTGTTGGTGTAGTAGTGGCTGCTGCTGCTGCTGCTGTTGTTGCTGCTGCGTTTGTGCATGTCGAATTGCTGGAGAAGGTTGAGTAGACCCCGGTGCTGGTGTTGAAGGTGTTGGAGAAGCAGATGCTCCTTGTGCGGATTGAGAAGCAGGCGTGGGAACGGGATTCGGGACTGGAGTCTGATGGGGGGCATCTGTACTTGTTGGAGTGGGAGCTGTAGGTGGAGGGCGCTCAAGTTGGCCATCCGTCTCCCGTTTTCGTTTCGTTCCTCGCGACGAGGACTCTTTCAACCCCAGCGAGGTTGCTTTTATCAATATTTGGTGTCTATCGGGCCGAGTGATAAGCTCCCATGAAAGAACCGATATGCGACATGGAAAAATACCTACCTCGTACGAGAGTTGCCCCATTTTTCGCACAGGGCATCCCATATGATTTCCCCGCTACCATTGCGGTGCTCCTCGGCAAGTTTCTTTAGCCTTTCCGTTTCTTCTTCGGACCAGGCACCCTGATTTCCACCGCTTCCCACAATACCTCCTGTACTTCCACTCGCAGAGCCTGTCGCAGGTGCTGGGCTTGGCCCAGGTGGAGGTACAGGAGGATAGTAACCGCCATAACCACCATAGCCATAGTATGGTGCAGTAGGGTATGCTGGAGCGCCATATGGGTATGCTTGCTGATGGCCTAGGGAGACAACAAATGATTGCGGATCCGAAATTACTGGCCCTGTAGTGGTGGGGGATTTGCCGTTTGTAGAGGATGTGGATGGCCCAGGTTGGGGTTGGGGTGGTGGCGGCGGTGGGGGGATGGGAGCTGGGTAACCAGGTACGAAGTACGGTGGAGGTGGAGGGTGTGTAGTTAATCGAGAGGGAGATGCCAACTTTGAGACATAAGGACAAAGCAGACTTTACAACTGAAATTACGTGACTCACAAGGGTATCGCATATTCTTTTCGCTTCGCCGAGCATGGCCAAGGGATCTACTTTCACACCAGGGCCCATCTGGTAACATTGCGCAATAACAAGGGATGGTGTAGCTTTCTGGGCGAAGTTATTTCAACGCCTCAAAATCACGCAGCGGAGGCTTACAACAAGCTCTTCAGCCGCTCCATAGAACTCTGCACACAAGTTTAGCACACGCCACTGAAACTCATAGTACTGCTGATTGTGTGGTTGTATCTCTCCTGGAGTGGGAGAAGCGGTATATTGGTAGAACCCATGTTGTGGGGGGGACACTTTGGGGGCAGTATTAGCCTGCTCCTTCAAGTCAGTAGCTGATGCCCGTGACCGTCTATTTTTCGATCCACGGGGACGACCAGGACGCCTTTTCCGTTCTGAGTCTTGTGGCGGGTCGGGTTGTGCTGTGCCTGCACGCTTTCCAACTGCAGTTGAACTTGATTGATGTTGTGTAGATCTAAACATGACGAGCACATACAATATGAGTATTTACGAATACTTGCAATCAGACGCGTGTCATCATAACATTTCACAGTAATTACGCACCCAGCGGCGACCTCGTGATCATCGTCTTCACGATCAAGTTGCTCTTCAACGGCGCCCTCATCTTCATTCTCTTCCTCTTCTTCCTCCTCCTCGTACGTAGGCACTACGGGAGGATGAAGTGCATGGGAGAGCGGTTGGTAGTGCTGTGGATTGTCCATGCACACGCTCCGGGTATGTGATACAGGGATAGATAGGAATAAAGAATAGCAAAGTTTCGCCCGTTAATTTTTTTTGAATATCTCGGGGTGGTTGTAATCCTGTCTAGCGTTGGGGTTATGTCGTCGCCGTGCGAATAAACCATCAATATTCCCATGTATACATCTATTTGGCACAGGTTTATCTCTCTCTGCCGCGACGGCATACACAACGTCAAGTCAAAGGTCCTCAGGCTAGGCTCACCGTCGCCGTCAGAGCGTCATCATGTTTCACGACTAATTACCGAATCGCCAAGGTCCCGGCACTGGGTCCAATTCCAAACCCCACAGGTCTGGGTGCCAGCGTCGTCATCTTATTTTTAATGTGGAAACTCGAATGTAATACATATCCGCCTACAAAGCGCAGACCCACTTGGCGCATCACACGATCACCGGAGCGCTGGAGGGCTTTTATGTAAAAATAAAAATATATTCGCGATGCACTAAAAAACGTTTCGGGACTGTGGACGGCTTCTTCCGAACGGAGGCATTGACTCGTACCAAACATTCTGTGAGTATGAGATTAATGCACAATTTTCTTCCAGGAACCATTACTTTTCAGATATCTCAGCATGATCTGACCGCGACAGATTCTTCATGGTATCAAGTTGGGCTCGTGGCCAGCTTGATTTGTACTACCACGGACAAGTCAAGGTCGACACTCTTCTCTTTCCAAGACGTAGTCAGGCTTATTTCGAGGCTAATCAAATCTATCAATGTCATCTCATGGGTGAAGCTCCTCATCACACCACTTGTTAGCTAGGCGTAATACCTGACACATCGCTCATCTCCTGCATGAGCTCACTGTTATCCTTATGGCCTCTCCACTTTGGACTGTTAACTGATATGTCAGGACTCGAGGGGTGACCAGGCAGATGCGCTCTTACATTCCGTCACACACTTCCATGATGCGCTGACCATAGAAAATATGGCAACTGGGTTGAAACTCGAGAGGGACTCCACCATAGTGACTTGGAGGATGGATATCCTCGTGCCGTAGGTCGTAGAGCCCTTCACCTGTTTCCACCGCTTCGCCATCTTTTGCGTCAGCAGCGTTCAAGCGTGCTTTGACAGGGGGAAATTTGAAGCCACTAGGGTATGCAAGTACCGTGCGCTTCCCTTCATCGAAAAGTGACGCCCGACAGATGTCACAGGAGACTTTGCACGGGACATGATGACTATTTTTCTTCGTCGTGGTAGAGAAGCAGTGGAGAGCATCGCCGTTATTCTCCAGAATCCGAACACTTGTCTTTGGAAAGATGACTGCCCACTGAAAGGGAGCACCGTGCAGCCCTTGGCATTGTCTACAGTGGCAAAGCTTCGCATCGAATGGGTCGCCCGCAAAAGCAAAACGCACCGCACCGCACCAGCAGGACGACTCGTATTTTGTCTTGAAGAGCTCCTTGCCGTCTTGATCACGCGCTGGCGACCAGTTGTATGGCGGCTTTAACATCCAATCTTTCTCAGAATCACCACCGTCGGATGAGGGGATGGGAGGAGAACCGCGCCAGCCAGTATCGGGAATGGTCTTTGTGTCAGCCGAGTAGTCAGCTTGGTGGGTATGGTCTTCGGGCGAAAAATGACGGAAGCTAGAATGAGGCCTAGTCTTTGTTTGTGACTCCTGGATGAACGTTTGTTGCAAGCAACATAGTTGCGACTGACATCTTCATTGGCCTCGAACCTTCCAAAGTGATGTCATCTGATTCTGCTTCCGTTGAGTTACGTAAAGTAACTTGTTGATGTTATCAACGGCTCGGCTAAGACTTTGATTTCCCCTCTTTCCGAGTCATTCGCAGTTTCAGGACCAGACATCATCGTCAAAGTGCAATATTCATGTCTAGTACGTAACCATCACAGCTGCAAGCAGGCTTGGCCTGCATCTTCGTTCCTAAAGCTGAAGACAGGTTTTACGATCTCTTTGATGCTGCGGGTTTCTTGTCAACCACTCTTGTGTCCATTTATTATCCACATGTTCGTTCGAGCGCAAAAACTTCTCCTTCCACATTTCTTCAACTGTCACGTTTGGCTTTGAGGCAGGTCCTCCTCGGTGCTGCCCTCGTCATGTGGTCGTTGAGGCTCGGGAGCTTCTCGCCCTAGAGAGCAATCAAAGTGTGTGGCAATTCACGTTTCGATAAAATAAAGAAGGAAAAAGTCAAGTTTACCGGCGCATGGATGACGCAGACCATGACCTGGATGTTTGTCGTTGGATTGCCGTTTATATCGCAAGCATATTTCTCCCTTCAAGTTGGGCCTTTTTGACACACTCACAACAGTCAAACGTAATTCCTGCGTCAGCTCATCCTCTACGTGGCGCCGATTTTATTTCCCTCGCTTTGATCGCAGGCTCCTTGGCGCTCGAAGTCACAGCGGACAGGCAGAAATCCACGTGGCGCTACGACAAACAGGAAAACAATCTTTCATTTCCAAGGGAAGCCAGAGTCGTCATCCAAAGTATGTCATTTGATGTCTCCCTGTTATGAATTTAGGTTCATACGTCGCGTATAGTAGCTATGTGGGCGTACTCGGCATCTGGACTGGAATGTTCGATCTCGCCGCATTCTCTGGCGCACTACTTGTCTCTGTATTAGTTGCAACCGCGGCAAGTCCTCTTTTGACCTGTGTTCTGCTTCGACACGTGAGTTGAAATTAAGTTTTTCGTCTGACCTGTATAATTGACCGCATCGTGAACTTAAAATTGCTTTGCAGGCGTCAGGCGTTCCTCCTCTCGAGCGCGCCGCAGAAACAAGGTTGGGCGACAATAAGAAATGGCAGGAGTATAAGAGGTAAGTTTTCGAAGGTAGACTTTGGCCTTTTATATTGCGGTGGAAAGCCTTGCCTGCGGATAGTCCATTGGCGACGGCGAGCATACCGTTGGCGTCGGGGGTACGTGCTTCTACCCGTTGGTATTAGAGAACCTGGTTCATTATAGGGTTTCTCGTTGCATTTCTTTTCCCTTCCGTTGGATTGGAACATGCTGCTGACGGTCTCAATTTTTCGCTTCCGTTGGCATTGGGACGTGTGGCTGGCAGACTGCCGGTTCCGAGAATCCGGTCCCGTTGGATTGGCTTTGTCGAAGCACCTTCTGGTCTTCTGAAGTCGTGTTATCAGTTGGGCAAGTGACCGAACAGGCGACCAGCATCCTGCTATCTTGGACTTACCTACAAAGCGGGAAGTCATTGTGCTTTTACTTACAAGTGCTGAAGTGGAAACACTTACCCGCATTTGCGGCAATTTGAATAAGTTGCCCGAATCCACCCAGTAATCTCAGTTGGTTCCAAAAGGGCGTTAATAAGCGCCCATATCATTCAAGTCCTCGACTTCGTGTTCCGCGTCCGTTGGGTGTGGCTCTTTCTTCGCCGTCGGTGCTTCCACTGGCACAAGCGACGGTTCTCATTCCTGCCACCTCCGTCGGATGTGCCGCTCTTCTATGGATTGCGATCTGCAAAGAAATAGTGCTTGTTTCCAGTAATCTGTTCTGTGCATGTGACTTTCATCCCAGATCTCCAATCGTCTCAATACTGATGAGATCTTTTGTTTCATCAGGACCGTGCCAGTATTTTTCTCCTGGGGATGGTATGAGTAGAGTGTGCGATGAAGGTTTCTGGTATCATGGTATCGTTCGCGACTCACATGTTTCTTATCTTGGTAGCAATAAGCTTGTTCCCCGTTGTATTTTTAGGAATTTTTGGACACGCTCACGGAGGTTTCCCCAGATTTTCGGTACCGGTGTCTATAGCTATTTCAGTATTCTTGGAAATAGATAATTTAGCTTGTGTTTGACAGAGGGTACTAGTACATTACAGAAATAGCAGAGACTGTTGAACGTTGAAGTTGCGTACACGTTCCAAATACAGCCAGCTATGGTTTACAAATCATCAACCCCTCCTCGTACAGGCCCACCATGTACAGTGAGCCAGTCCTCGAATCCCTGAGCGTTGTGCAAGATGTTCCAAACACACTCCCGTCGCTCTGGAACAATGTTTCCACCTCCCATCCTTCACTAGCGGGGACAACTTCTGATACCGACAACGGCGCACGTAAATCATATTTCCTATCTGCTGCATGTGCGCTCTTCGCGAAATGCGTTGTGTTTGAAATGGGAGTGAGCGAGACGGCCCAGCTTGGCGCTCGCGCATCTGTTTTATTGGCAGCGACACCAGCGAGAGACGGGAAATGTGGATGCCCCGTGACGATAAGTGCGCCCTCCTCGTCAAACATGATGTTGTCGTTAAAGAAGGGGAGGCTAACGGCCTCCCGGTATTTGAGTGCATTTGTGGTCGTGTTGCGGTCGTAGAAGTAGACTTGACCGAGAGAAGTAGAAGACAGTGCGAGAGTCGTGCCGTCTGGGGAGATGGCTACGCCGTTGGCAAAGGCTACACCGAGAGCGGCTACTTCGTGCGTGATTGTGCCATCAGGGTTAACTGTGACATGTGCAAGCCAACTCAGGGGTAGTCCAGCGATAGTCTCAATCAGCGGCAGGGCGGGTGCAAGGGGGAAAGGGAGTCGACGGGTCATGAGATGATCATTACTGACGTAGAATGACGTCTCGTTCGTGATGGCCAAGGCATTAGGAGACACAAACCAAGGCGATGAAATTGTGCGTTGCCAGTGTGCCAGCGTTGGGGTATCTGGAGAAATGGTAAAGTGCTCAATTGTGGTCTCTTCGCGGGCATGGTTGACTACATAGAGAATAGATGGGGCTCCATCCTGAGAGGGCGTGACTTCTATCCCAAGTGGGTGGAAGCTATGTCCTTCCGGGTATCCGTCCAACTCAATACGCTTCAGGCTATTGTCTACCGTATCAACAAGCCAAAGATAGGCCCTTGGTTCGGGATTGCGCAAGGGACCCATGACAGTGTTCCATGCCTTGCGGTTAGGGTCGCACCCCGCAATAAGAAAACGGGCAGCTATAGTGCCATCTGCATCCAGGTGGTCCCAGAAAGTCATGTCTTCGCAGTAATTAATGGTATGGGCTGGCTCTTGAAGAAGTGTGCAGTGTGTCTGGACATCGCCATTGACATAGTATGATGGAGGTAGTGCAGGAAGAGTGAAGATGCCATGTTTAACAAGACGACCGCTCCGATAGATGAACGTTGCCTGTAGAAAATGAGCACAATCTCATTGCTTGGATTGGACACATACTAGTAGTACAGCAAGGACTGTAAATACTCGGGAGAGCATGACTGGCGTTTAGACTGAACCGAACTTGAACATGCTTTATCTGCATGCTCACTCAAACTAGCTTAATAGACTTACTTACCTATATGCAAATAAAGCAATACCAAGTGAATCGTTCGCAATAGCGAGATACAGAGTGATGGGAAAAGAACAAAGTGCTGAGGCAGCAGGCGGTTCTGTCGGACTAGGACTTAAGAGGACTGGAGCACTTACGAGAGTTCAATCAAAATTCCGTTGATCAAAAAAATCGTCATGATGCCTCAATGATGCCTAGTAGGGAAGCCAGAAACTCCCATGGGCTGGGTGTTGGGTCATGTGTTTTTTCCACTGCCTTCTGAGTCTCAGCCTCTCCTAGGTCACGGGTGGGCCAGGTTAACCCAGGTGAAAATGACGCGGCGGCGTTGACGCAGCGCGCCATCACAAATCACAGCGGCCGTATTGTCGCTCGCAAACACGGATCCAAATCATGCCTGAGTTATCTTGCGTCGATTCATGCTGCATCCTAGTCAGGCATATTTTAGATGTGATCCTCCCTCGTCTATACATTCTCAAAGGATTCACTTTCTCGTCCAGAACTCCAGTTCAAATTTTGTTTACAAGCCTCTCGCTAACCATGAGCTTGACAGCATGCAATGAGTTTCATATGTATAAGGTCTAGGCCAGGAGGCCCTCGTCCATTTCGGCCCAGTGACTGCGGCAGGCGCTCCAATCGTTTGCTACACTCCTGTCAATAGAAGCCCTTGCGGCTCGATTCAAATTTTTCGAGTAAGAAACTTCGAAGTACCGTAATAATGCTGAAAGCTCATCACATTACTTCCCACAGCAAAAGCCAACATACATGAAGCTTTCGATTCTCGCTGGTGTGCGGACATACGCGCCAACATTGTGGCGTCTCCATCTCCTGTTTGCACGCGTGTAAACAAGCGTCAGTGGCAAGAGTTCCTATAATCCAATATAGATGTCTGACGTGTTTCGTGCTCTGCAGACACAGCATCTAGACACTTAAAGTTCACGGTGGCTCACCTATGGTCACAGTTGTACTTGTCGCAGCCGCCACACGCTTACAGTAGGCACTTTTAAGTATGACCCCGCGGACGCGAAACCAATATTTTCTACAAAACAACTGGTGTTTGCATATCTTTGGTATGAAATACTAATTCCATCACATAAAGCCGCTTCTTCTGATTATTTTAGACTCATCCGCAGTGGGCTCAGAGCCACTCGATCGATATTGTCAAGACATCGTTACCGCACTGCCATGGCGTATTGACAGGCGCCCTCTTTTTTATGACCGATTCTTGTTCAAACCCATCGGGAGAAATATCCCTCTTAATGGCGCGGTGAATGTGTCATGACTATGGGACCTAGGTTTGATTAGCCAAGATGTAGCACGCGCAGCGCTGAGCTTGATTTCCATTAGTCACCGCCGTCCGTCGCACCGGAGTTGAAGGCGCTAGACAATCGAAGATATGTATAGAAGGAATTAATCGTTTTTACGTGCAAATGATACCTATCAAGGAATGGTTCGTGGCCGAGGGTCGGAGAGTTGTCACCGGTTAGGTAGTGTTTGTGGATTTCCAATCGTCGAAATACCCCTCGTGTGAGAACGTAACGGCCTTGCAGATTTTCGTATATCTTCTCTTATATCGATCAGGCAGAGCGTATCATATCGATTCATAAATTTAATGAGTTCTTCGTGGCAAGCGACCCAAGCTGACGAGCTCCCAGGCTTAAACGTGAGTGCAAGTCTTGCTATCGAGTCTAAATCACTGATGGGCCTTCATCCCAGTACATTTATGGTGCAGTCATTTTCCATGATCAGTATTTCAACTTCAATGGTTGATCCCTTCATGTTATCTCTCCCAATAGTTGCACTAGTAACACTTTGGGTGAGTTATACCACAAGAAATTACCACATCATCTTACTTGGATATCAAGGTGTATGACTACATACTATGCCTACCCGACGCGGCAAGTACAAATTTACTTGAGCGTCCGAGAGTGCTCTGATCTGTAGTCGATGCAGATCACTTTTCTCGCCGACTCTCGATGGGGGCTCAGCACATTTATGTATCTAGCTTGCAGCCATTTGCCACTTGCCTTCATGTTACTGAATATGCTTGGTGAGTGTCCGGTACACTTCCATCATTTTTACCTCCCTCATAGTGTGATGCCTTTCATGATCACTTTCAGTAGTTTTTCAGCCTGATACCCCAGTCCATGTATGTGCAACCAAGTCGAAGCGTCGCAGGTGTTCGAATTTAACACATCCCAATCATAGCTTTGCCGCTCTTATAACATCGCTAATACCTGTCAGTCTAGTGGCGCTTCGCCAGACACGTACTGACACCATGTTCAATACTTCATCAGATGTAGGGATAGTGACGATGATTGGTGCTGAGTGTAGGTCCAGCCATCGTACTAGCCAGCAGAGATTTTGCGCTCTAACATTTGCACTGAGTTCAGGCATCTTCATGGTCAGGGCATATGCAGTATGGAACCGGGGGAGATGGTTCGCGGCGGTGCAGATTTTTACCCTTATTGTGAGACAAATATATAGAGGCTATGACCACTAGACAACGATATCTGACTCATCTTTCGTAGGCCTATTTAACGCCAATTACTATCAGCCTGCAACAATTTAACTCAAGAGTCGCAGGTGAGCAGACATTCGGGTTGGACTATTTGCCTATTTGGTTACTTACTTCTGACATACAGAACCATGCTGGATCCCTGGCGTTAGCGGATATCTTGATACCGACACAAGCATCAGAATATATGTAGCGTTTGGCTTGCTAGCTATGGCCGAGATACGTTCGTATGGGAGCTGCTGCTAACACGAGCTTGAACTGACTGGGTGCATGCACATAATTCCAGAAACATTATTGCTTCTGCTGTATCGCGTCAGCAAAAGTCGCGGTGGCTGGGGCATCGACAACCGTCTTATGCGTGGTCTCATGAAAGATAATCTGCTGTACTGCGGCAGCGGCTTTGGTTGGTGCTTACAGATGAACGGATACATCTCGCATATTTACTTGCTAAATGTTACAGCCTTTTCTCTCGGCATCATTCTCACAACAAATTTCTTTCCAGTGAGTTGATGCATGCATTCGAAGCCGCCCCATTAACGAGAGACGTAGTTTCCAGTTGGACACATGGTTGCAGAGTTTGTCCATTCTCACTTTGGAGGAGGTGAGGTTACTTATTACGCAGCAGGTGTCAGATTGTCGTTCAAGCGCTCTTGGTCACGCGAATGCATAGGGGCTTCTGGAGATCGGACCGTGCCTTTGGCAGCATTTCCACAGATATCTCTCTCTCAACGTGGATGATGGGAGCTCTAGATTTTACGTGACGGTGTGCTCCCTCCGCCAAATCATCATGATCGTGCAGCTGACACTGGAGCGATGAAGAGACAAATTTGCTGCTTGGAGTGTACCTACCCGTAACTTATGGATGTGACCATTGCACAGGCTCTCATACCACAGATAAATGGACAATATCCATAAACAAGTCAAGTCGAACATGTACTGCAACATTGGCGTAAATATTTTATCCATGAGACTGCAACGCCTCGTAATTCAGTGTACCAGGTCTGGCGCGGTCATGGCGCAGTGGCTAGAGTCCCAGCTCGCATGTATGTATAATGTAGCCCATTGGTTGTAGTCCGTCCTCGATAAATAAAACTGCCGCCTCCCACCTTAGTCGTTCCTTACGAAAGACCAATGATAAGATGATGAGCAGGCGTGAGAAAAATATAGTTTCAAGGACCAGTTGACCTCCAAATCGACCTTTCAGAAGCTCGATACTCCCTTTTCACGATATCATCACGCTGTGACGCAGGCAACTCGGATGGCACAGTGTGTACGGATGGGCGTACCATACTTGTAGGATCTAGACAGGGACTACCATTCTCTAAATGTCTGATGACGGTCAAATCCCGAAACGGTCCACTTCGGCCAGTCCACTGCAGGTGCTGAACGTCCTGATTGTGCGCTGCACCACCCACACCTCTCAATAGGAACTTTGCGGATCAAAGGACTCAACAATGGTTCCACAGTTTTATCCCGTATATATTCAGCCGACCTCCTCTCGTGGCAGTCTATCAGAGCTTTACATTCTCCAATCACCAGACTCGCTATTTTTGATCGCGCCATAGACTCGTATTGGTGCGCACTTTTACTTTTAGGACTGGTGCCAATCTAACCTACGACCTTCATAGCATCATGTGTAAATTTGTAGTCCCCATTCGTACTTGCTCAAAGTGCCACCAAAATGAACCGCTTTTCGACGAGAAGGAAAGGCGACTGTCGCATGTCAATGAAAAGAATGAGGTACCGCAATCATCTATGGTCGGAAGCCATGTGGCTCATTGCGTTCCCAACAGCGAAAGTCAACATACATGGTACCCCCCTCAAGACTGCTATTCGCGGTGGTGTGTCTTCAGCAGTGAACACCCTATCACTTGTAGCTCCTGTCGGATCACTTGTAAACGAACGTTAGTGACAAGATTTTTCTGTTATGTATAGAGTGTTTCATGTGTTTCATGTTCCGCAGACATGGCAAAACACGCAAGATTCGGGGTGGCTCACCTTCGTATGTTTGCCATAGCTGTATCTCATGCCCTCAGCGGCATTGCCCATGGCAATTGCCTCGTGGCATGGGCACCAGCGTGCTTCGTCTACGGGAGATTGGTTGGTTTGCTGGGTTAATAAGGTCTTCCGCAAAATAACATCCAGCACATGGCGTTTGTATACATATTTGGTACCCATGGCGAAATACTATTACCAAATCATCACTTTCAGACTAACTTTTTTACTCGTCGGCGATTGACCACTTGGCAGGGTTTGAGGGGCCAATAACGTGCTACGCATATGGATGTCCGCGGGTTCTCCGGTGGTAAGCCTGCCTTGAGATTATGACCCTTAAGGTGGTCGCGAATATATTTTTTCTACTGCGTTTGAGGCTGCGTCTTAAATACTGTTGATGTGTCATGACTAGTATGACACCCAGGTGCCCACCCTGAAATGTTTGATGCAGTCAACTGATGAGTACATGTGACTCTTCTACCCGTGATGCTGAGCTTATTTCTAGCGTCAGGGGTACTGGGGCAATCACAGCTATTACTTTCATATTGATAGCCGGAATTCGTTTTTTTTTTTCGTCCGACCGCTTCTATTACTTATGGAGCTCATGCTTCTGACTCAGACAACCTCCCTGAGCTTAGCTCCCGACTGTCGCACATTTTTTGATCCAACCAAGGTATCAGAACAGGACAAAAAAAACTGGTCTATCAATATGAAAGTAGCTACAAGTGCATATTACACCTATGGGAAGGACCATGTTGATTGGATCATATGCATGAACCCAAACATTGTTTCGTGACCGGGTTCAAGTGGTTACTGACTGAGCAACGTTCCAGAGAACGTGGATGATGACATTACACAGCTCATAAGATGTACACGGCAGTATGTCTTCTTGCACAAGCCTGGACCGCTGTGCATGTACCATAGACTTGTGTTGGAATATGATGTAATCCACACATTGGATGCAGTGAGGGAAACTGTAATGGCTGGATAGTCTAGTGGTTAAGACGTCCCCCCGGAGTTGGGAAGGCCTAGGTTCAAATCCTGGTCCTGCCATGATTTTGGTGTTCAATAACTTGGAGCAGTGTCAATTCGCATAAGCTAGTGCGACCATGAATGCTTTGTGGCAAGTGACTCAAGCTGACTTGCTCTTGGCTTGAACTTAAATGTGAGTGCGAGTCCTGTTAATGAGTTCAAGTCCATCTTGCGGCATCACTGATGCGCTTGTCCCAGTACACTTATGGTGCAGTTGTTATCCATTATCAATTGCTTTCACTGGTTGATCCATCAAGTTGCTGATAGTTGCATTCATATCGCTTTGGGTGAGCTATAGGAGTTGTACTGTCCTTGGTGTATTGACTAATATTTCACTTGGACGTCCAGTCATATGACTACATCCTACTATGTCTGCCTGACGCGGCAAGTACAGATTTACTTGAGCATCTGAGAGTGCTCTGATCTGTGGTCGGTGTAGATCACTTTTCTCGTCGAGTCTCGATGGGGGTTCTGCACATTTCTGTATCTCACTTGCAGCCACTTGCCATTTGTCTTCCTGATATTGAATTTGCTCGGTGAGTGTGCAGCACTCATCTATAAATTTTCCTGCCTCATAGTGTGATCTCTTTCATAATGGTTTTCAGTGGTCTTGCAGCCTGATGTCCCAATCTCTGTATGTCCAACTAAGTTGAAGTGTTGCAGACGATGGAATTCAACCCATCCTGATCATAGCTTTGCCGCACATATAATATCATCAATACCTGTGAGTTTGGTGACACTTCACCGTGACGACACTTACTGACTCCGTGTCCAGATATAGGGATATCGACGGTCGCTTGCGCTGAGTGTGGGTAGAGCAATCAACTAACCAGCAGTGATTCTGCACTCTAACATTTGCACTGGTTCAGGTATCTTCATTCTCAGAGCATATGCAGTGTGGGAACGGGAGAGATGGACTGCGGTGTACGCGGTCATCAGCACCATTGTCAGACAATATATGGAGCCCGCGGCCAGCTCCAGATCATGATGTCTGATTCTTCTTCTGCAGGGCTATCTAGTAGCAATTACCATCTGCTTGCAGGAATTTAACTTTTCAGTCCCCAGTATGTCAGGCTACCATGTCATTATAATGCAATAATGTATGATAGTTAGCAGACAGGTGTAATGTATTAACAACGATGGACAATGTAATGCATTTTTCACGCATCTTTTTCGAGGCACCTTAATGCATTAGTTAGACCTAATGCATTATATCTCAGATTCTGTATGTGATCATGACCTGCGCATGCGACGCTATGCCTGCTTGCTATATAGCTTGATGGCATTGGTCCTTCAACAGGTTCGTTCATGCCCACGCCCTGCCCACTCATATTACTAGTGCAAACCGCCCTCCCATAACATACCTGCACTTCAACTTGACCGCCCTTCAACTCAAGGTCCTTCACACTTGCCGCTCATCCTGCCAGGGACTTGTAATTGGATCGGGTTTGTGATGCAGAAGTTGGGGTGTGGTGTTCTACTCAGTCAAATTCAAAGACTTTGATGATTATGGAATGTGCCGACAAGCTGATCAAGAAAAGCTGAATTAGAATCACAGATTGTGAAGCAAAGAGAAGAGTACGTGACTGACGACCTGATGAAACAGCTATTTTATTCACCCTTGTTCCAGTCGTGCATGGCATCCTGGGAGGCATCGCAGTCAAGATTTCAAGTGGAGGCAGCTCAAATATCATCATTGTACCTGCCAGTGACCAAGACATCCTGGCCTTGCAGACAATTGCGTTTGTCTGACACCTCTAGATGCCTTGTTTTTTTTCCTTATCTCTTGACACAGTTACATTGTGCAGGGCGCAAACTTCTCAAATGACGATGACATCCCTTATTCCTCTGTCCTCAGCTTCTCCCTTTCATCATCGTTGACACTTATTATCTTATTCTTAAAGTTCCCTGTCAACACTCCTTTATCTCAATCGTTTCGCTCCCTCCTCTCGCCGGCATATGCATGTCTTATCACTCACCTCCCTTTCATACTCATACTTATAACAAGACTGCCTGTATTTGTGTAGTCGGAGGTCATTCAATCCAGCGTGTTTCTACCCTGAAGCCAACAGAAGCAAAATGTCCCCAACCGTCTCATCATTCCATGGCTTTCTACACTAACTAAATCTAATCTACTCGATTTGAAACACATTCCCTGTCAGACTCATGCACTAGCCTTTATTGAGCGCCAGCAAATATCTCTTCAAATGTGTTTCTGTTTCCTGTTGCAAAAGTCCAGTGAGTAATGAGGAGAACATATAGAAACAGTCTTACTTCCTGGGCTGCTGGCCTGCGCCAGTGGTATTGGCCTTCCGTCGCTTGTTATTTTCTTTATTGACTGAAACAGGTGGGCACACACGCGCACTTGATGTCCCAATTGCATTGAGAATATGCTCGCGTGTGGATGGAACATGGCGGTGTGTTGTTCAACGTGGACCTTCCTCTTCTAGACTGGCAAGACGGTCAAATGTGTTGGAATCTGTCATGTTGATGCTGGAAGTGCTTGTGAGGGGTGTAGTAGGTGGTAGATGATTGGAATGAGAGAGCAGTAAGTTACTAGGCATGGTAGTATCACCTGGGAATGCAGGTAAAAGATGACCTGTTGGTTCATGAATAACCGGCGGGGAATATTGAGTAGGTGGTAGATGATTGGAATGAGAGAGCGGTAAGTTACAAGGCATGGTAGTATCACCTGGGAATGCAGGTAAAAGATGACCTGTTGGTTCATGAATAACCGGCGGGGAATATTGAGTAGGTGGTAGATGATTGGAATGAGAGAGCGGTAAGTTACAAGGCATGGTAGTATCACCTGGGAACGCAGGTAAAAGATGACCTGTTGGTTCATGAATAACCGGCGGGGAATATTGAGTAGGTGGTAGATGATTGGAATGAGAGAGCAGTAAGTTACAAGGCATGGTAGTATCACCTGGGAACGCAGGTAAAAGATGACCTGTTGGTTCATGAATAACCGGCGGGGAATATTGAGTAGGTGGTAGATGATTGGAATGAGAGAGCAGTAAGTTACAAGGCATGGTAGTATCACCTGGGAACGCAGGTAAAAGATGACCTGTTGGTTCATGAATAACTGGCGGGGAATATTGATAGTTGAATGAATTTGAGGAGTCGTGCATGAAGCTGAAGTCGAGATCCTGATCCACAAGACCATATGTTGGGCCAATGGCTGTGAATGGGTCATAAGGCACCTGCGGTAGGCTTGCGAGAAAACTGTTGAGATGAATCATATCCAAGCTGGAGATGTCAAACTGGTCGAAAGGAAGGGAGTCGATGTTATTGTCAGGGACTACAGCTGCAGTGGTCTGAGCAGCTGTAGGTGCTGGTGATAAGTCAGCCATAGACCCTTGGTCATCCTACACGAGTTTGAAGGTAATGCATTACCAAAAATGCATTACAGCATTGTTAGAACGTGTGATGCATTAGCGGTGAGAATTCAACAGATGATTAATGCATTACTTACCATGACTTGGTCGAATTGATAAAGCCCGTTCAGCCCCAGCCCAATATCGTCCATATCCCCAAGCTCTTCATTCTCCCTAACATTTTCCTTCTCCTCAGCAGCCTCTTCCTCATCTTCTTTGCTATCCTCCCCAAAAATCTCGTCCAACTCGTTGGCCGCCTCATCCGCAATGGTACCTGCATCCAGTGCTGAAGCTAGCATCTTTTCATTGTGAGCTGATTGAACAAGGTAAGCATCACATCGTGTAATAATTAATAGATGCTTACCCAGTGCCAATTTGACGAAATTAGCATAGGCTGTCTGGACTTCGCTGAACCCAGCATATTCAGCCGAAAACTCGAGCCCCTTCAGTGACAAATCCCGTATTATACGGGTCACCCGACCTACATAATATCCCGTGTAATACGGGCCAGCGGATTATGGGCCGATGTTATGTATATTCCCGATGTTGACGGGTGGGCCGGGAGGCATATTATTTCCGATGGAGACGGGTGGGCCCATCTATGCTGATGTTATATATATCATCGACGATAGCGGATGGGCCGGGAGAAATATTATTATGGAGATGGGTGGGCCCATGTGGGTAATATGTAGAGTAGGATTGACATATATTATAGACCTGAGGAGAGATGTATAGCAAATAGTATTATATAGACGTGTGGGCCGATGTATTAGTATTATTTTGTAGACGGATGGGCCGAGGGAGCGGTGAAATATTTATTAGATAGACGGGTGGGCCGAGGGTGAGGGGAATTATTTATTACATAGATGGGTTGGCTGATGTGGGGTAATATTAGATAGACGGGTGGGCTGAGGGTGAGGTGAGTTATTTATTAGATAGACGGGTGGGCCGACGTGGGGTAATATCAGATAGACGGGTGGGCCGAGGGTGAGCGGAATTATTTATTACATAGACGGGTGGGCCGACATGGGGTCATATTAGATAGACGGGTGGGCTGACGTGGGGAATTCTACATAGATGGGTGGGCCGACATCGGGTAATATTAGATAGACGGGTGGGCCGAGGGTGAGCGGAATTATTTATTACATAGACGGGTGGGCCGACGTGGGGTCATATTAGATAGAAGGGTGGGCCGACGTGGGGAATTCTACATAGATGGGTGGGCCGACGTCGGGTAATATTAGATAGACGGGTGGGCCAAGGGTGAGGTGAATTATGTATTAGATAGACGGGTGGGCCCAGATACATATCATATAGACAGATAGGCCTAGGTATTGTACATTTTTACGAGTTTCGAGGCTCGAGTTAAGAAAATTCAAATTTAAGATGATATACATTTTTGTTGTCTTGAAATACCGAGACCCGAGACTTGAGACCCGAGATTCGGCACTTGGTAGTCGGTGAAATGAGTACAGAAATACATAAGATAATACACATTGTTCTCAGAAATCACAAGTTTCAAATGTTGATTTGTAAATCACGAGTCACAAGTCTCGAGACTCGAATCACCGAGTACCGAGTACTGAGAACCGAGTACTGACACCCAACACCCGGAATTCGGCACTCGGCATGCGAGACAAAAGATTGGAAACAAAACTCAAAATTCGAAACTCGAAAGTACTGACTACCGAATACCAAGTACCGAGTACTGAATCTCGGGTCTCGGTACTCGGTATTCGGTACTCGACACGATGCTCGAAACTCGTAAAACTGTTTCGAATCACCGAGTACTGACTACCAAGTACCGAGTATTGAATCTCGGGTCTCGGTACTCGACACGATGCTCAAAACTCGTACAACTGTTTCGAATCACCGAGTACTGACTACCGAGTGCCGAGACCCGAGATTCAGTACTCGGTACTCGGTAGTCAGTACTCGGTGATTCGAAACAGTTTTACGAGTTTTGAGCATCGTGTCGAGTACTGAATACCGAATACCGAGTACCGAGACCCGAGATTCGGTACTTGGTACTTGGTACTCGGTAGTCAGTACTCGGTGATTCGAAACAGTTTTATGAGTTTTGAGCATCGTGTCGAGTACCAAGTCCCGAGTACCGAATCTCGGGTCTCGGCACTCGGTAGTCAGTACTCGGTGATTCGAAACAGTTGTACGAGTTTTGAGCATTGTGTCGAGTACCGAATACCGAGTACCCGAGACCCGAGATTCGAGTGCTTTCGAGTTTCAAGTTTCAAGTTTCAAATCTGTCGTCTCAAGTCCCGAGTGCCGAATTCCGGGTCTCGGGACTCGGAACTCAGTGACTCAATCAATGGACTGGCAGAGGTTACATTCATTGAAAACTTGTATATACATCTATCACTATGCAATTATGTAGCCATGTCAACCTCCACAGAAGACTCTTCAACCTTCACCTCCACCTCAACATCCATGTTGCTGGAAGAGTCATATTCTGGGACAAGGTTGCTTGGATCACCCTGGGTCCACAATTTCGCCGGATGCATCTGGATCCTCTGGATGAACAACTTGGTTGTAGTCGAACAGGAGACCCTCGATGGCAGAGGCATCCGGAATGTCGGGGCTGTGGGTGTGGGAGCCATTGTTTCCATACTGAGATCAATCAGAGGAGGGAGTGCGGATTCTGGGGGTGACATGGGTGCGGGGGCCGGATGATCAAGCAACAGGATGTTGCAGGGGCAGGAGTGTTGGGAAGTGGGAATGAGGGGTGCCGGTCGATGATTTCGCGCCTAAGGCCTTCATGAAGGCGTTGCAGGGTGTCAATCTTACCATCCTGCTCTGCCAACACGAGCCTCCAGAAGAGCAATTCGAGCTGTGCCATCTCGAATCGCAATGGACATGGCATGGAGATCTGGCATGGGCACCCCAAGTGCTGCAGCAGGGACTGCCGACCTGGAAGACGGAAGGGCTACAAGGGAAAATGAAGGTCAGACGGTGATGAAAACTCGGGTGACTTACGAAGTGCAGGTGCAGGTGCAGGTGCAGGTGCCTTGACGGCAGTGATAGTCTTGCTGCGACCACGCGTCTGGGTCTTGGGAGTGGTCACAGCAGTGACACCAGAAGTTCCGGCCCGGCCACGAGACTGACTGCGAGTTCGGGCCCTGGACTGGGAG